AGGAAAATTTTCCTCTCGTATTTTTTTAAGGAATAGTATATAATTTGTTTTCTCAGCATTAAGCGAGGGTTTGTTAGCTTTATACCAGATGATTTATTTAACTAGTTCTATATTTATGTCAGCTTATAATGTTTTGATATCATTGTTGGTAAGAAATTGATTTGTGTCATCTGCAAACATGACTGAATTCAGTTTTAAAAATGCATTACAGAAGTCATTTATATATATAAGAAAAAGGAATGGGCCAAGAACTGATCCCTGCGGGGTTCCACATAAAAACATTTAATACTCCAGAATGGACATTATGTACATATTGTTTTCTGTTGGTAAGAAATCCAATGAGAATGCAATTATCCACTGTATCAAATGCTTTTGATAAATCAAGAAATACTCCTAATATATATATATATATAATATATATATATATATATATATATATATATATATATATATATATATATATATATATATATATATATATATATATATATATATATATATATATATATATATATATATATATATATATATATATATATATATATATATATATATATATATATAGATGTGTTTTCATGATTGCAAACTCATTTATTATGTCTTCATAACTTAATTTCATTGCAATTTCGTTCCTAATAGATAGAATTGTTTAGGAAGACAAACCTTCATTAACCATTGTTGACCTATTTAAAGATAAAAAGAAATATATATACATCTATTTATGTGTAATGAAGCAAATTATTTATTCTAACCTATAAAAGGTTTTGATTAATTTTAACTTGCTAAAGTTACGTTCTGCAATTGTAACAGTTGCTTTTAAATTAAGAATGATTCGTAACGCAATAACTAGATTTGGATAAGTTTCTTGCAGCTTTCTTTGTAGATGTAGTTTAGGAAGTTATGTTCAGATTTTAGGAGAATTTTTTTATTCCTTTATAACTATGAAAAATTGTTTCAACTTCATTTCCAAATCCTCAGATTCTATATCACCATAATAAAGAGGAAACTAAGGGAAACTAGAGGTTAATGGCTGAATTTTTTGGCTATCAAAATAATCTTTAGTATATGCCTAATATTTAACTAGCAGAGCTTGGAGACTCTTTCTTAATTTTTATTCTGAACAAATTTGTTCTTTTCATTATAGACTTGATTTTATACAAGTTTACAAGCTCCTTTAAATAGGATAATAAACGAACACAAAAATAAAGTGGTAAAAAATGGTCTTGAAGATTTAGAGACACTTCTTTATATATCTTGGTAAAATGACCATAACAATTTTTTGAAAAGTAAGACCTCAACATATTGAAGCATTTTTGGAACCAGTTAGCAGCTTATTTTGGGATGCACTTTTTGGTTAACTTTTTTGAATGTTAAATCTGCTCTTCTAAATAGACCAAAAGATCACTTTAATTTTTAAATTATTTCATTTTTTATTAGTTAATTATTTCATTAATTATTTCATTTTTTATTAACAACTACACTTTTCAAAAAATTTTGATTCTCAAGTTTTTTGATTGAGGTTTAACTACTTAAATAGTTTATTATTTTTATGTATTACAACTTAAAAATTTTGAAACATTGTTAAGAATTTTTTTTTGCTTTGAAGATTTTTTTTTTATCTTTTTATTTTATACCAAGTAATGTTTTTATAAGATTTATGGCTGTTTAAATAGCTCTTTTTGTAGCCTTTAGATTATTGTTCAGGGTTTTATTATCAAGATTATCAATTTTTATTATTGGTTTGAAGGTACATTGTTTCCTTATTGCATTCTAGTTACAGCCAATATCATTAAAAAATTGGTTACCCTTTCTTTATCATATGGCTAATTATTGGCCGAAGTAATTTTCTAATGAATCTTGTCATAGTCATTCAGCACTGGAACCATTATTCAATAGGCACTTATTTATACCAATAACTTAATTGACAGTGACATTGATCCCGTTATATGTTTGCCAAAATAAAAATAAACAAACCTAACTAAATTTTTTAGGTGTTTGATATTTAAAAAAAAAAGGTTAGACACAATTGTATTATATATTGATCTTTTTAAATGAAAGTAAATACTTGAATATTACCTTTCATCTGTTTTAGAAGGAAAGGTTAATTTCTTTGAGTTAATCTATGGAATACGAGAAACTATTATATACTGTATAAAGAAGGATTTGGCAATGAAAACTGAGGGATTTATTGAAGGTAGTGAACATGTCGATCCAAACAAAAATGTTTTATTTAGATTGAAAGTTAACATATTAGCCGCAAACAAACGATAACTTTTTTTTGATTTGGAACCTTAGGTTTTAATCAACTAGTATATGATATAGTAGTTTTACATATTATATCTTTAGTTATAATTTGTAAAGCTTTTCTTCGCGATTCTTTGTTAAAAACATTATCGAAATCTCAAATAGAAAAACATTTATATTTCTTTGAGAAGTTCCAGATCCAAATTTGTAATAATTAGAACAAGGTGTTTGGAAAAAGCAAGGATAAATCAACAATCTTCTTGTAAATTGTAAAAAAAAAACCCGCTAATAATAAGATAAACAAAAGCTTCGACTGGCCAGACTTTTTTATGACTGCATAAAGTTTAACTTTTATTGTTTAAAAACAATATAATCTTGTGAAAACGGCCCAACTGGCTAGACTATCTGTTATCATGACTATGTTTTTACCATTTTTTTTACGTTTCTGACTAAATTTTTAATTTAAATTTAAAATTCCGATTGAATGATTTATGTTGGCTAAAATACTTTACGCAAACTACGTATAAAAAATCAACCAATAAAAAAAATGCAAATAATAAAATTCTACGTAGTACGATTAGGAGGTTTTTTCTAGGAAATTTATTTAACTCATTTATAAACCAACTACCGCTTAAAAGTATATAAACAAGATTGCAAATATTTTTGGATAAAATGACAAAATCTTTTACGTTTTGGTTTAATAAAATTAAAGTTTCTTTAGACAACGGAAACAAAAATGAATTTTTTTCAAAGTTTAGCAATCAACAGACCGATTTTGATCGTGTGTCTTTATTATTAAATCAGCCCCAAATAAAAGATTTTGTAATTTTAAAATCATTTAATCCAAAATGTAAAATATCCAGTGAATGTGCTAGAAATTTGGGTAATCGGCAATATGGGAATTATCAACTTCTGGATGCATTGCGTAGTTATTCTGTTAGTATATCATTAGCAGAATATAACTCAAAAGAACTTGCATTAGCTTATGGCAATCGTTCCGCAGTTTTATTTGAAACTAAGGAATATAACATTTGTAAAGCAGATATCAATGCTGCTTTAATGAGTAAATTTCCTTGTGAGAAAAAGTACAAGCTTTATGAAAGACTCGGTAAATGCTACATTAAACTTTTATTTTATGATAAAGCTGTCGATGCTCTTAATTTGTGCATTCAATTTACTAGATCAAGTGATTTATCAGATTGTCAAAAAAATGATAAATTAAAATCAATAAATGAGTTAATTAAAAATTGTCAAATTTTTGAATTATCAAAATGTCAAAGTTTCTCTCCACTGAGTTGTCAAAACCTTTTATATGTTGCAACACCTCCAGTGTTATTGAAAAAAAATGTTCTGCATCCAAGCGCATCCGACTCACTTGAAATTGTCAGCTCTAGTAGCCAAGGTCGACATGCCATTGCTACTAAAGATATATCTGCGGGTGAAATAGTTATTGTAGAAAAACCATATGCATCTTTATGCTCAACAGAGTCCTACGAAACACATTGTTATCATTGTCTAAGTAATTTTATTTTTAGCTACCCATGTAGGCTTTGCACACTTGTGAATTATTGTTCAATTTCTTGTGAAGAAGAGTCTTGGAAAAGCTTTCACCGTTTTGAATGCGAATATTCAAATATTCTTGAAAATGATGATATTGGTGTTGCACATTTGGCAATGAAAATAATTACTACTGTTGGTCTTAAAGATTTGCTATTATTTCAAAATACTAACTCATCTGTGGTATCGCTTGAAGATGTTTTCTCTTCTGCTGTATCATTTGAAGATGATGTCTCCTCTATTAAAGTTATGGCGCAAAACTCTGCAATTTATAATTTAATTTATAACTTAGAAGGAAACAGCAAACTTCGTAAACAAGATGATATATTTAGAAGAGCATTGCTTTCAATATATATTGGCAAAATATTATATTCAACTAATTTTTGTCCTCAAGAAAACCTGATCATTGTTTGTGCTCATTTGCTTAAACATGTGCAAATGCTTGCTTGCAATGCATTTACAATTTCTGAAATGGTAGTTTCAAAGCAAGGGTTCAGCTATATTGAAGACATTGTTGATAAAGAAATTGGATCTGGTGTTTATGAAACAACATCTTTGTTAAATCATTCATGTTGTCCATCAGTTTGTAGAGACTTTTGCGGTGATATTGTTGTTGTACGTGCTATAAAATATATTAATAAAGGTGAAGAAATTTCAATTCAATATGGTTATAACTACTTATCTTATCCGAAAGGTTATCGACAAAAAGAGTTGTTAGAGAGATACTTCTTTAAATGCCAATGTCAGGCTTGTTCTTATAATTGGCCCTTACTTACTAAAAGACACCCTTTATATACAAAGATTCCAAAGTTCAGATGTTTAAAATGTTTAAAGGGTTATCATGCTAATAGTAAATGTTGTGTTGTTGATGATGAGATGGCTAATTTACCTTTATTACGTAAAAAATATATTTCTGCTTGTATAGATGTGGAAAAAAATGGAAATGCTGAAATCAATCTTCCTGTGTTATTAGAATATCTTAATTTACTCTCTCGTAAAGCAGTTTTACCATCCGATGAATTTGCTATGTGCCAAGAGACAGTCAAGCTTTGTTTTTCTTTGCTATGTAACTGTGCTAATTTTAAAACATTAAGTTAAACCTTATACCTGATTGGTTTTGTTAACTTGCTTTTAACTTGGATATATAGTTCACAGAACTATATATCCAACAGAATGTCAATAAATAACTTAGTTTTTAATATAATTGTTGTATCTCTTTTAATTTTTTTTATGTGCTATAAAGCACTTTAAAGGCAATGATTTTCTAGACAATTTATTATTATTTTATTATTTATTATTTTTATTATTAAAGTAGTTGTTGAACAGCCTTAAATCATTTAAAGTGTTGTTCAAAGTGTTAAGTTGTAAAAATTTCATAAAATTTAAAAATATTTTTGTCAAGTAATTTTTGTTAAAGTTATGTGAATTTTTAAAACTCTGTTGTTTGAAAGTTTGTTATAAATTTTTAGAAAGTTGTTAGAAAGTTTGTAATAAATTTTTATTTCTATAAACTTTAATTTTTATAAATCACAAAGTAAACATCCATCTATACGTACGTGCGAAAATAGGCACATGACTGACAGGCCCGTCTTACAATTTAATAGGGTAAAACGAAACTTACACATCTCTGAATATTACTTTGTTTTCATCTACACTGTAAAAAAACTCCGTAGTATTTATCAGACTTTTTTCGTTGTTTTGTTACGGAAAAAATCCGTTTTCAATAAATTACGGGCTTTTACCTATACTTTTTCGACTTTTGAAATAATTACATCTTTTTATGGGATTTTGATCGTATTTATGATACGGAGAAGTTTCGTAACTTTAAATTACGGACTTTAGCCGTATAATATACGTACAAAAATCGTATAATATACGTATAAAGAATCAGCACCTAAACTACAATAAAATGTGTGTAAATGCGCTCCTTTAAAAACATACAGCACTTTAGTTCCAGTAAAACAAATATATTAAAATCTCTAGCTTGAATTTAAAAACGTGTATAACTTTTCTTCGTTAAAAAGAACTATGGCGCTCTGTAGATTAGAGGCTATACTAAAGTAAACTAAAATAATATTTAGTTTACTTTAGTATAGCCTCTAATTTACAGATATATATACATAAATATATATATATATATATATATATATATATATATATATATATATATATATATATATATATATATATATATATATATATATATATATATATATATATATATATATATATATATATATATATATTATATATATATAATAACAACCACTATGATATCATATAATTTGTTTATTATTATTATAGCTATTATTACTTGATGTGTATTATATAATACGAGTAGTTTATTAATAGTCAAATTGCATTTTTATAACAACATATAAATTCTATTCATTTATTTTTGACTTTAGCGTAAACTCTGATAAATGAGTTAAGTAAATGTCTATTTGCTGAATTAACGGAGTTTTTCCGTTAACTTGTATCTAAAGAATGAAAAACGAAACCGTAAATTTACAGAGAAAGTGCTGTCTCTTTGCTGCCTGACATTCTCCGTTATTTTGTACGGAAAAAATGAAATACGGAAACCGTGAATTTTACGGAGAAAGTTCTGTAACTTTTTTAACGGACTTTTTCCGTTGATTTTAACGGAAAATAGAAACTACGGAAACCGTTAATTTTTACGGAGAAAGTGCTGTCACTTTGCTGCGGGACAATCTCCGTAGATTCTACGGTGAATTTTTTAACTGTATAGGCTTCGTTATTGCGTTATTAAGTACATGTATTTTTTTTAACCTTATTACAACTTTTTGAACCAGCGAAATGATCAGTCACATCTTCTACAATGATTTCTTTTAGAAAAACATTTTTAATTTTAAAAACGGCTAGAGCGTACAGGCTTTTCTGTCCACAACTTGACCTAAAGCAATTCTTCACCTCTTTTAAAGTTAAAAAGAATAATTATTCAAAAGTTTTAATTTATTTGATTGATTTACTATAGTAAATCAATCAAGCTATCTTTTAAGTAATTTTACAGGTCTTTTTCAACTTTAAAAGAGGTGAAGAGTTGGAATAGATTTAGTAGTGGACAGAAACGCAAGTAAGTTCTAGCCGTTCTCCAAATTGAAAATGTATGATACGGTTTAACTTTTAAAAGCAGCATAGAGAAACATCTTTAAAACAAAATTGACATTAGGAAATATAGATTTAAGTTTTTATTATTTTAAAAGTAAATTCAGATGATTTGGATATCTGGTTTCACAGATACTAACTTTAATAGAAGTGGTAACAAAGAAGCTGAAATGCATACATTTGGAAAATAAATGCTTGCATCGCCAAGGTGGATTCATAACATTTTTTGGGCGTACAATGTACTTGAAATATGTTTATAACCAATAAGTAAAAAAATTAGTCACAAAGAAAACAATAAACGAAGTTTATTGTTTATTTTGTTGACTATTTTTTTTACTTATTACTTATAAAAATAATAATAAATTGTCTAGAAAATCATTGCCTTTAAAGTGCTTTATAGCACATAAAAAAAATTAAAAGAGATACTACAATTATATTATGACTTATTATGCAATTTTTTACCTCCAATTTTATAAAATTTTAAAAACTGCTAATAACTCTAATTAAAGTAACAAAAAATAAACACAAATTGCATAAAACTACTTCTAAAGAAGTTAAACTTGAAGGACACCAACCATTATGAGAAACCGAAAGTGAGGAATTTTTTTTTAAGCGCAAAAAGTAAACTTATTTGTATAAAATGGCGTTAATAATATTTCAAAAAACCAATTGGTGTTTTAAAATAAAAAATGCAAATACAGTTTTGTTTTCACCCAATTTTAAAATTTTTTGTTGAGTTGTTATATGAAAACCCATCTTGCCCCATTCGCCATGTTGTCCCGCTTTCCCTATATATAAACAAAAAAAATTTAAAATAAGATAGAAGTAAAACTTAAACTTGGCATCGCCTTCAAATTTAACTAAAAGTCCTCTTCTAGTGAAGTCTGATTCCTCAATAAACGTCAGCTTGTCTTGTTGGCGTTTACGCGCTTTTTTTTTGTTTCTAGTCAACATTGTACTTGTGGGTTCCTACTAATATCATAACTTTTTTTTCAAATTTTTTAAAACTTGATAAAACCTTCTGTCCGAAAAAAGACAGAGAACATACAGTTTATTCGTTACTTTTATATCAATTCAACGGCTTGAAGCATTTTGTTCAATTTTTTTTTTAACATTTTTGCTTTCTATAAGGCTACAAGCAACCACTATTAGAGTTAGATGTTACTGGAAGAGAAAAGATGAAGTTTAGTGAGCAAGATAACAATTGACAGACGACTTAAAAGATTGCAAATTATATAAATCAGGAAAGCAAGATGAAGGAAACGAATTCCAAAGAACTGATGTTCGAGGAAAAACAAACTAGACGAATAAGAATTTTTGGAGCACTTGGAAATAGCCACAGAAAAGGGATGAGATTTAATTGATTAACGAGTAACACGAGAATGAATTTTAGTTGATGACACAAAAGACTCTTTAGAGCAGTTCTTTAGAGCAGTTCCCGTTGAAGTACTTGTCTGCTCTTTAGAGCAGTTCCCGTTGAAGTACTAGTAGAAAAGAGAAAGAGTAAAAGAAAAAACGTAAGAAAAAAAAAAAAAAGAGAAAAAGCAACATTACAACGATGTGATAATGGTTGGAGGTTGGCTGCATAAGCAGTTCCAACTAGTATGTTTACAATGCATTTTTGTACCTTGTCTAGGGCATCATTAGAAGATTCGCCCAAAATATAGCAACAGTATTCCATACAAGGACGGATTTTAGTTTATAGAGATAAAGAATAGAAGCCGAAATAAGAAAATGTTGAGCACAATAAAGAGATGCAACCTTAGCAGATGCTAATTTTGCAATAGATTTGATATATGTTTTTTAAAAAAGATCGGTAATAAGAGTTAATCCTAGAAGAGTAGGGTAGATGACTAGTAAACCGCCATTCATAAATAAAGAAAAATCTAAATTATTTCGGTAACGATTGGCTGAAAAAAATTAGATTTTATTTAAGCTAAAGTTCACCAGCTGTTAAGAGCTCCATGCTGTAGCAAAAGTCAGGTGCTTTTCAAAATCAAATACCCCCTCCAAGCAATAGAAATCCTCCAAGAGTGTTGGCTTCTTATCAAGACAAGAATAAATGGTAAAGTCAACTCTCAATATATCGAATACTTGATATCTCGAACTTTTTGAGTATCTTGAATTTTTTAAGCGGTCCCATGAACATAACTAGTTTAGGCTAAAAACCTCTCGATATCTTGAACCTTAATATCTTGAACTTTTTGGTATCTCGAACAATATTTTTGGTCCACTTGGCAATTTTCTCTCGTTATCTCGAACTTTTCAACAATAATTTTTTCAAGAAATGTTTTAATAGCATTTTATTTTTTGAAATTCCAATTTTCGAAAAGAAGTTTTTTTAAATTCAATTTTTAAATTCGATTTTTTTTTAAGAATCGAATTTCTGAAAAGTATTCCTTCAATAACTTATTATTTTTGTCAAACGCAATAACATGCTGCTCGTTAAACGAAAACTCACGAAAAATGCAAGGCATTTATAGACCTAAAAACAGGGATGTCTAACAAAGAGAATGCCCAAAAGTACTTTTGGAAAACCTCTTTATCAATTAATTAATTATTTAATATTAATTATTTTAAATAATTCTGCCCACAAACATTGAAGGGCTAAGCAACATCAACCTAATATTTTTCCCCTTATCACTACATCTGTCCTTCATCCCATGAATCAAGGTGTAATACGAAGTCTTTAAGCTGATTTTTGTCACAAAATTATGCGTTTTTGTTTCAAGGCTGTCAATTAAAACAAACCTCAGCCAAAAATTTCTACACTTCAAGCAATAAAAGATCTTCTTTCTTTGTGGAATGCTGTGTCGAAGGAGACATCAACTGCTTTAAAAAAGCTGGTATCAGTAAAACAAACAAGAGTATTGAAGAAGCTGATTATTATCATCCTTTTAAATTTTTGACAGAAGAACTTAACCGTTTGCGAGAGTTAGATCCTAGTACCGTCTAAGAAGATCTCTCATCAGAATCTTACATTCGTTTAGGCTGCGATGTAACAACCACCGGTTTACTTGTTACTAATGCTAAAAGCATAGCTCATATTAAAAAACCTAATTTTGAGAAAGAC